CGGGGAGGACAGGACAGAGACTCACGGGAAAAGCAGGACTGAACACAGGAAATCTCAAAAATAAACGCACAGAAACACAGATTGTGACAAAAGCCTTTGTTGCCTCACGCAGCAACAAAGGCTGCGTGAGGCAACACGCAGCCTTTGGATAATTTATTTGAATAAATTATCCCAGTAACTACTAAGATCATTGGAAATTATCCAAAGAAATTTGAGAATTTATAAATAAATGTGAAAAACTGTATAGATAAAAAAGTATTGAGCTTGTTTGTTTTTTTTACAATGAAAGTTATACTAAACAACAAAACAACCATTCATTTCTCTTTCAATCAAACAAAGGGAAAAGCCTTTGATTTTGTTATGACTTTATTTTGTATTATTAGGGTATGTGAGCGAGTGGGCGACCAATTGAGGGTGTGGCTGTTTACCTGCTCCCAGTGGAGAAGGGAACCCTGTTATTTTTACTCCATTTTTCCATTTTATGGGGTTCTGAGCCCACAGAAGCACAGACCAGGAAACCCTATTGCTTTTGGTCTTTATTATTATTATCCTCTGAAACTACTACTGCAGTCTACCAACTGTAACTCATTACAATGTTTATTAGGTATCCAGCTTCAATACCAACACTACTACTTAAGTATAAATATTCAGGCACATACACAAGTAGGTGGCACTATGGTAGAAAATATGTGCTCTTAATGTTTAATGTTGTTTTCCACATGTATACTTCAATAGAACTGCATGAAAAAAAAATCCATTATAAAGTAGAAGCAAGTTTGGTTATTTAGTGTTATTTTGAGAATTTTAGCACAAACTGGCAAATTTTAGGGATCTTTTCTATTTTTGTACATGTAGAAAAAAAAACAAGAGAAACTAGAACTGCAATCACTTATAATGGGTTTTTTGCCTCCTTACACCTTCGCTGCATCAAATCTCCCCACTCCTGCACTTCTCTTGACCTGAGCTTCACCAGATCCATTGTGCACATTGACTGAGTAGGCAATTTTTCAGGATTTTTTTCTGCTCCAAGAGCTGTTATTGAGGATTAGAAAGGTGGCTATACTCTTAAATATCTAAGTAAGGGAAATAACGCACAGAGACGTAGTTCTTGCTGCTAGGCCATAGACGAGCTGGAGATTTATTACACTTCCACGGATTCCTCATTACAGTTTCTTCAGTTCAATACAAAATCTTCATCGTCATCGTCTTGTCACAAAAAATCTCTCCGAAGTCTTACCATCAACCTATTTTATACTTTCTCATCTTCATCAGTGTGTGTTGGAAAGTTTCAACCAATGGCGTGCTACTGTTGTTTTGCAGAAAGCTTCTGGCACTCTTTATACTGAGTGTGTATTGGGCGACCTTTAAAATATTTTGGACCTCACGAACTCAACATCTGCTCCATTTTTATCTTGCACAAACAGACATCCTTTCCAGTAAATTGTGGCTCCTTTTGCGCTTTGCACGCAAATGGAAGGAAAGAATTCGGTCAGGTTGACCTAGTGCGAAGCCAAAGTCTTGCTGAGGCACCAGTGTCTTTTTTCCGCCAAACAACTCCTTAGATAGTATTTCCGCTCTTACACTGTCAAATG